TTATCAAAAAAATAATAGCAAATTATAAACCAATCTTATAAAGTTGCTTTGTTTTGTTATAATTGTTTACAACGTTGGAAATTTTGGCATTTTTTTCATATTCTTTAACTTTATTAACTAGACATTTATGTTTCAAACGTAAATTATAACTAAATTCTTTAGCGTTAACTAAAAAAAAAGCAATTAGAACGCTTATTAACTATGAAAATTTTACATGTTATTATTGATTGAATATTACCTTGATGTAAGTTAAAATTTAATTTTGAGTCATTTTTTTGAAATTTAAGCCCGATTGCCGTGCTAATGGACTTATAATTATCAATATCATTTTTCACACGATTAATTTCTTCTACCAGTGTATGATTTTTTTGAAAAACGTTTCCTTTAAAATCTGCTAATATGTATACATAATTTATTATTAGATGAATTGATTCATAACTTTATTATAATTATTCAGTAACTAACATTTTTATCTATTTTCTTTATATAAAGAGCCTTGCTTTTCTGTTAAACAAAGTTAATATTACGAATGACATGCTTCAACCTGCTCATATTATTGTTTCAGTCAGTTTTACCATTATTCTTTCCATAAAAAGCCTCAAATTTCTTTGGGTCATTCAGATAATTTTTTCAAGTAAACCTTCTCATACGAGTACTTAATTGGCTTTCCTGTTGAACAATGTTAACCTTATTCCTGTCACTCGCTTTAAAAGATTCAAAGATTATAAATGCTATGAATTTGTATTTCAATAATGCATGTTAATTGAAAAAAATATAACTTTCTTACCTTGGCACTGAACAGTATTTTCTAAAACTATAATATACACGTTTTTTCAATAACAAGATATTCAAAAAAGAATCTGTCTTGCCATAAACAAAAAAGATAAGTAAGAATGAGTGAGTCAATTTATCAGATTTCTGTTCGATGAATTCTCGTGTAAACAAGACAAATGGGTTATAATATTATTACAAAAGATCTGCATATAAAGTATATCGATATATATCAGATATAATATACTATATAAATATATATCCTATATAGATGCGTACTGTATAACCTATTAGACCCGATTAGTAAAAAAAACTGGTTGTACATCAAAATAAAGTATATTATATGAATTAACGTTAATATAAAAA